GACACTCCTTCTAATTGCGCGATTCTACGCGATATTGCGCGCTGATGTGCGCTGCTATGCGCAACCACACATCTCGCGATCTGCTTGGCGATGCCCTTGCACTTTGGGGGCCGAACTGTTGGCGTTACAACCAACTGAGACGGAGCGCACGGAGCGCACGCCCGAGCCCAGCGAGCGGGAGAAGCATGCAGGGCGGTGTGTTTGGGGCGGCTTGGGTAGGGCTCGGGGGGCTTTTAAGCCCAAAAACATCTTACTTTATTGACGTAACCCCCCTCGTCAATTTTATTTTTAAGGTAGGGGGGATATACTTTTGATGCTAAACCAGCAATATGGGTGCAATTATTCTAGAAGTGCTGTTTTAGACAAGAATATGTGTACATAATAAAGTTCAACGTACATCAACAAACCATATCTGTGACAACGCCTCTTGCCCTCTGGCCCGCCTTGGTGATGAACAAGACGTAGGACTGCCTGAAGGCTCCCAGGGTCCGAGATCCCAACCGTTGAGGGAATCGAAACCCAGTCAGTGAAAAGCACAACCTTGGCCCATGCTTCTTGCTTCTGAAAACACAAAGCAAACGCCGAAACCCACACAGCACAAATCAGGAAAAAGCTACTGCCAGTGCCAATGGCACACAATGATACGCCAAGAGGAGATTCAACCACGAGCTCTTGAAAGTCCTCTTTGCGATCCGTGCGGTGAAGCTGCCTCCTTTTTGCAGGGTTTCCCCTCGCATAGAGACCCGAAATGCGGATGGACGGCTTGAGAGTCAGCTGTTGAAAGTCGGCGCCAGGTGCGACTTAGGGATGGCCAGGTCAGCCATGAACAAACAACTTAAGCAACTGTCGCTGCTCACCGTATTGGTGCACTAGGCGGAGAGAGCGGTAACAAATAATCCGACAAAATCCACGCTTTGCACCAGTGGATTGAAAACTCTACTGGGATGAGCCACCTAACCCCCGCCTCTCGCTGGCCATGCCGATGGGACTGGGGCCAAGCCTCAATCGGCGAGGTTTCTGGGGAATTGTCCAGCTTTGTGTCTGCAAGGCTTGCCGTCCCTACAGTTGGACACCCCCAAAATTCCCCACCCATTTCTAAAGGACTCTCCTTTGGGCAAAACCCATTTGGTTAGGTTCCATGCTGCAATTTGTACGGGAATCCCGGGGAAAGAAAGGGCGAGTACACATGAATTGCTCGGTTCAGGTCGCAGAAGAAACTTTTGTCACACGAGTGAGCCCAGCCTGGGCTCCCCGCGATTTTGGAGGACCTGGAATATCCAATGCGAGCCAACTCATGGGAAAACCAGCACAGAACCGTACCTCTCAGACAACAATGCTGACCGTGCTTGCCATCGTGCCCTCAGAACGCAGGGCAACCTGGGGAAGCTCGGGAATGGGGGTCCAGACTCTCGACTATTTGCTCAGCTAGAGTCTGTCGAGTTCTATCCCAGGAGCCTTTGGAGGAAACCAAGACGAGCTGCGCAAGCTGTTCGCAGTGCAAGCCTTCTTCCTGAGTGGACTGGCCCAAGAAAAGCATCCACATTTTGTACACCGTTAGAATGGTGTTCCCAAGCAGTGACAAGTCCAGGAACCTACAGAGTGCGAAGCGCCAGCGCCGGTTCTTTCTTGTCACTTGCTTGTCGAGGCTTGGCTGTACAGCTGCTCGATGCTCATCTCACATGTCCCAAGGGCTCGAACATAAAATCTTGCACCGTCTGGGCATGATCGCCAAACTGGGCCAAACATGAAAACTGGGAAGCCGCAGGGTCAACTGACCGTTCAGACAACAACCCAAACCTGCAAAAGGCTTTTCCCATGAGTTTGTCTCAGAATAGGTGTTGTTTTCCATTAGTTTTCCCGTTCTACCAAAGTGAACAGGACACCCTCAACAAGCGTCACCGACAAGTGAGCTGCTCAGGTGACCCAAGAGGCCACACTGAGATCTTTCAGAATCACTTGCTCGCAATCCGACGATCCGTCTGGATTGGATGCAAATCTTGCCCGGGTGTCACTGCCCCAGAGCAATCCTGACTCGCCGAACTGGTCAAAAAGGCAAGATCGTGGGACAAACCATGGGAGGAAAATTTCCAGGTAGGGATCTGATAACGGATAGAACTCTGATTTGAAGCCCCCGTTCCCCGGCGAGTTTCTGTGGAGGGCTTGTGCCTGGACCCTGAAATTGGAACTTGCTCTCCGACGTTCTCTGCATTTCTCTGCCAATTTGCTTGCTTGCATCAAGCTTCCGGAACGAACTTGTGTCATGTCTTTGTATATTTCAGCCAGCCCTTGTTGGAATAGTGTTGGGATTCCTGCCGGGACATCCACGGACAATCTGCGCAATGACTATATGAATCCACGCTCCAAGCCTTCCGTTGTATGCCGCAACAAGCATAGTTCAAAGGCATATTTGCTCTAATCATGTCGGAAAATATGTGAGTTGCTCCCGAAGCCAGGAACGCGCATGGCGACATGAACATCTCCTTGACTGAATGAAGGCGCTCTTGTAGAACACTTGGCAGGCACGCAGGTGGAATCCCAATTGCAAATTTCTGAGGGATCCGTTTTAAGCCACTGAAATCACTGAACGCCACACAAACACAACACCTAAGTTAAAGGGGCAGTATGGTTGGCAACCTGATATGCATGGCTACCTATATTGTTCCCTCAAAAGTCGCAAACAAAACAGTCACTTGAAAATTGGCAGCCAAAGAGTCATGCATCAAGCAAGCTTTTTAGCCTGTTCTTCACAGGTTATGAGCCAAGGTATGCCTTGGTGAAGCTGTTTGCATGTTGCAAAAGTTGGACTCCAACTTGTGACACTGAAAGCCACATTTGGAACCACCAAGTGATGCTGAAAACACCCCACCCTACAAAGGGGAAACAACTCACTAGTGGATTGGCCGAACAAGTCCGCACTTGTTGTTTGACAAGCTGCAAAAAGCAAGCAGGAACTCTGGGAGTGAGGAGACGTTAAACTATTTTTTCCACTATCAAAGTAACCCCCGATCAGTGGTTCACAGGGAAACCACCCTAATTTCTGACTTTGACACCCTTCCTCCCACAAACATAGAGGGTCTCCTCTTACCGTCGAGGAGCATAGATCACCTTGTGGAAAAAATGGATGGCCCACCAGTAAATGGAACAAAACCTATTTAAAGCAGATCCATCTATTTCTAACCAACTAGGTCCTCCAGTAGAGAGGTTAGAACAAGGGTACCCTTTCTTCTGTAGTCTATTTTAGGGGAACCCAAAACCCCAAAAAAGAAACGGGTGAGAAAGTTGGCACCTAGCTGGGGGACCTAGCCAAACAAACCAACCAAAAGGACACCTCTGCCCAAGGTCGGGAGCCCCAAACCCGACCTTGCCAAGGCTCCGGTGCGCTTGCAGCTCCGAGACCCAGCCCAGGTAGGACACCCAGCTGGGCACACGCCGCTCCTCGTAGAGGAGCTCATCGGAAGTTGTCTCGAAATGCCTAAGGGCATCGACAGGTTTGGGGTTGAGGCTATATACTTGCTTGACGATGGAAGGGGAGCAAAAAACTATTGTTTAGTAGTTAAGTGGGGATTTCCCACTAAACCACACAAGATAAAGTGTAAAATGCTTCCCAACAACAACCATGTATATGGAGTACCGCATTGCAAGCTAAGATTGTCGTGAGTAAGCATCCATATCTCCGAAGCGCATACCCGGACATGTGTTTGAAGAGCAAGGATTGCATTTGAGTTTCTAGTCATCAAGTGAGATTGGGTCACCCTCCAACCCTTGCGGTTGAGGGGCTGCGGCCAAGGAAAGCAAGAGGTAAAACCTTTGAACGACTTTTCCTTCACCGTGAATTGGCCAATTAAGTCCAGATAAAATGGTCATAGAAGCAACAAATCCAGAACTCAGGGACTGAGCCTGCGTTGATTTGGGAGAAAGGGAAACAGAGTTGTCCCTTTCAGTCAGTAGGAAGGCAAAACAGCATCTTAAGCGTCTGAACAGGCACCTACAACTTCAACCATGCTTGTGAGGAAGTCTCCTTTGCCGAGGGCTGTGTGTAGAGCTGAGATGCGGGTGGAGAAGCACCTGATTGATGGCATGCCACCTTGCTGAGTTGACAGGCCGAACCAGTTGACTAATCTTGATACCCTTGGTAGCACTAGAGCTCAAATATTTGGCAGTGACTGCCCTTGCTCAGTCACCGCAACAGAAATAACATTGGCTCAAATAAGTGCAAGCTTACTGTTTGGCGCGTTGCTAAGCTGGCCAAACACATTTCCTCCCAAATACGCTAAACATCACCAATCCTGCCCGTCTGCTCATAGAAGGTCCGCGTTTCGATCAGTGTTGAAAACAAGCAACAGCCGCGAAACCAAGGCTTTATGAGTTGACCAAGCCCTATGTGAACAACTTGTGGGTATTTGGGCAAAATTTAATGGAAGACAACCGGGTCTCCGCCAAAGGCATTCAGGGGCTGAAAGGAACATTTAGGTCACATGCAAGCACCCATTTCCAGATGACTTTCTTTTTGGGAGACCCCGCCCAAACAAAAAAGAAAAAGGAGTTTCGAGTAGATCCAGTAGCGAACGCGTCGCAGGAGCCATGCTTCCCCTCTCAGTCTAGCTCAGATACATGGCCCAGACCTCCATCTCAAGCACTCCTGGCGCGCCAAGGGGCGATGCGGGGGGGGGGGGACCATTTCTACTTCTCGGTAAAGATCAGGGGCTTCAGAAATGTAAGGCTTCAGCTCTCACAGAAAGCCACCAAGGGATGGTCCATAGAGATGTCTTAGCCCCGGAGTGGTAACCCTTTCTGGATTTCCAAGGGGCGGCGCCCTTTCCAGCAGCAAAGGATCCCGCAAAGACGGGTCAAAACTAGGAACCCAAACAGACGCCTCAAGGACACCCCAAAAACAAACTCAGCTTGGTGGTTCTCAGGGGGTGAGAGCCCTCAATTTCGAATGAAGCCGGTGGACTTTGCTCATCAGAGCTGGCTCCTCTTCTAACGGGGGATCCATGATCAATTCATGTCATAGGGATTCTTCTGATCACCAGAGCTCCACCACAATCCAAAGATAAGGCTAGGTGTGGGCGGTAAGCAGGGGCCCTTGGTCATCCTTTACATGAGGATGAGCGTCAACGAGCCAGTTTTCGACAGCTCCCGTTCAAAATCATGGCCAACATGAGGCACGGTCAAAACTAACCGCTTCCCCAAAAGCACGCAGCAAAAACAGTCGCTCCGAGGTTTTCTGGTTGTCTGGTTGAACTTTACAGCTCGTGCCAAAATAACGCCCAAATATGACCGAACCTATCCGAAGATTTTCCAACAGCTGACGGCGCCGCACCTGCAGCCACGGCCGAGAAGTTGAATAAGCCAGTGTGTCTTCCTGGCTCACCACCCTCCACGGACATCCTTCGCAGGAACGCCCTCAAACCACGCGTCTGGAATTGGGAGGGTTTGCAGCCCTGCACGTTTCAGCGGTTTCCTCAAGCCCGCTGTCGTTGGATCTGATGGATCCAGTGTGTGCAACGTCCATTGGTTTGAATGGCCGGCCAAGAATACAATCTGGCTCATTTCTAAAGCCAAGCTCCTTCCAAGCCGCAAGCGTCCTAGACCGAGACACGGGCTTCATGAACAAAGGGTGTCAACACCATCAAACATGTGGATGATTCGCACTCAAATTATGGCCACTATGGATTGATGAAAGAAAGCAGGAAGCCCTTTGATCCCATGCCGGGGTCTGGCCTCTTGGCACATAAGCATGCCCTAGATTCAGGCGTCATGTTTCCCAATCAAATGTTGACATAATTGACTAAGGTTCTACGCCCTGGTGTTTGCAGCTATTGTTTGTTTCACTTTTCGCTTCCAAACAAGTGCCTTCATGATAGGGGCCTCTATTGTACAAAGTTGTTTTCCTAATTCAGGATCCTGTGACTGCTTGGGGACCTCTATTAGTTTGTTGCCGGGAACCATGTCGGAAAAACAAATCCGGGCACAAAACAACTGGCCAAACAGGTCGGGCAACAAAACAGGCATTGGGATGTCTTTGATTGGGTTCCAAAGCCATCAAATTTAAGGTAACTTCTTTACACACGCGAGGGCAAACAGTCACGCAAAGGGGGCTGCCCACAAGAGCCTGATCGTCTTTAATGTGTCCGCGTTGGGGTCCTCTTTAGAGTCCAACTTTTTTGGGGTTGCTGAAAAATCTGGCTCTTCCAAGCTAAAATGGGATTGGCAATGCTAAGTAAGCCCTCGGAATCTGAGAGTAAGCCTTGGCAATACGATATTTTGCCTTGCCAATACTAAAGCAAGCGCTGGGAATGTGAGAGTAAGTCTTGGCACTATCAAGCTTAGCCTTGGCAATACTAAAGTAAGCACTAGCAAGTCCAAGTCCCACCCAGACCCCAATGGATTTTCACAGAGGGTCCCGCTGACTGGCCCCACTGTTGAGGGGAGCCGCAAAGTCACCCGGGGATGTCCCCAGCGGAGTTTCCCTTTGGCTCCTTTCCAATACCAATCGGGTCTTCCTCAGCTCTTTGCCAAAACCAAAAACCGTACTTGTTGATTCTGGCCTATACCTCCTGAACCCTACAGATGCATCAAATAACTCAGATGCCCAGTGGCCATCGGAAAAAAGGGCATCCTTTTTTTTGGGGGGGTTGGTGGAGTTTAAAGGGGGACCCTTCCCAACGAAAACGGAAAAAGGGCGCCACTGGGCAACGGGGATAAAATCAACAACGAACCGCGGGACACCGGGGCCATCTCTCCCCTCATCGCAGTCTGAGCACAGGAAGAGGCAGTCGCAGTCCGAGCGCTTCGGCGGCAGCGGCCCGCTGAGCGGAGCCCCTTTGCGCTCGAAAGCGCCCAAGGACCAGCTGTGCAAGGCCGACAAAGGCGACAGGACCAGCATCCTCGGGGTTGGACCGGCCGAGCAAGAGCTTAGTGGCTGTGTTTGTGCACTTGCCTTTTGGCCTGTAGATTGTTTGGGCTAAAAAACGCCACAGCTTGCCCGTAATTAGTGGTTTGGAATACGACCAGGAGATTAGCCTAACCCTGATCCCGCTGGTTGGGTTGCATCCGCAGAATGAGAACAACTTGTTTTCACCAGTTGTTTATTGCTGCTGGGTTGTCTTGTGGTGCAGCTCGCCCCTTGGTTTGGAATGGTTGACCGAACGGCCAAAATTGGGATTGGGCAATGATTGCAGAAGCCACACAGGACTGAAGGGCCGGCGAGGATGTCGGCAGCAACCCGCCAGAACATTGAACCCGATGTTGCGTCGCCAGCTTGCCGTTTCTGTTTGGTCCAGACTCTCTGAAAATTGTCCAAAAAAAACAACAGAGTATTTAACTGGCCTACAAAAAGACATAGGAAGCTCTTTATGAACAGTGCCGTTTTCCGACGAAACATACCGGCCGAAAGCCGACAGCCGCTGCTCACCGAGGCGCACCTGGGCCGAACCCTGCACTTCCACCCGCAGCCTCTGCAACTTGGCCTCGCCAAATGGCTCCGCAACGAGCTGCCTCGGCCCAACCGTGCTTTGTCCAATTTTAGCACGCTCACCACCTTACTTCCTGAGTTGATGGGCCAAAAAAAGTTCAAACTTTCTGTTTACCACTAAAATGGTCTTCCCAAAAAGTTTAAAGTCCAGGAACTCAGGGAGTGAGCCACAAGTATTTCATCTTCCGGGAGTACACCTGTAAGAAACCCATCTCCAATCTGGTAAGAGTTTGACTTTCAGTGGCTTAAATGGAAACTGCCACCAAACACTAAACAAGGCTAAGGGGATGGCTGGGAGCCACCAAGCAATTGTTCAAAGGTGCCAATCTCCGCAGGTGTCCTCTTGCGCCACCGACGCCTCCCATGAACCCTCTCAGATCAAAGCCTTCAGCTGTTGACGTGAAAACCGTACGGGGCCGATTGCACGTTTTGGCCCGGCAAGGTTTGTGAGGCGCGTCACGGCGAACCAAACACATACGGGCAATCCGTGGCAACTTTGGGCACCCAAACTCACCAAATCCACCAAGGACATGGGGCACTTGGTAAATCATCTTGTTTCCCTTCCAAGGATCAACCGGATATTTCACCGAACCTCAACTTGGGGCGGTGGTCGGGGGTCAGGGGGTCAAAATCTGAACCGAGACGGGGTCTTCAAAACGAAACGGCCTTTCCGTTTGCGACTCGGAACACGAGCCCATACGAACCCGTTTGGGTGCGGTTGTCAAAAAAAGGGTGGCTTGCCCAGGTAGACGGAAAGGACTAAAATGACTAAAACCTGCTGTCCAATTCCTGGTGGCTTGTTTGGACCCATACCCATTTCAAGGCTTTGTGGTTTACCATTCTTCGCACACAACAACCACCGCCGGTTGGCTTCCTTTTCGGATATCCCCCAAAATGGAAAGTCTTTAGCACCCCGCATTCTTGGACCCAAGAAGCTGGGTTGGCCACAGACCATTGGCGAAAAATATTAAGGAAATTGAGGCCCAACACCCGCCCAGCCCCCGCTCGCTGGCAAGGCGGCATTCCCTTTTCAGCGGCTGCAGACAGGGTAAGTCGGCAAGCGCTGACATCTGGCACGAAGCCAAAACCAATGCTGAGTCAACAGTCAACGTGTGCCTTAGCAAGTTCCTAGCTGCGCTCTTGCTTCATGTTTTCACGCTGAAGATCCGGCGGCAGGCAATGCCTGCAAGTGCTTGTTCTCAACTTCGCAAACACGGTGAAGGCTCCGTGTTTGCATGAAGAAATCCCAGAGCACATCCTTGGCTGAGGTGCTGGCAGGCCCTTTCAGCTGCACAACCTTGGCCTTTGCCTGCCCCTTGGCCTTTGCTTTGGCCTTTGGCCGTCCCCTGGCATCGGCAGTCTGCTCGGCAGACTGGACCGTGGTCCATTGACCCCTGGACCACCACGCTAGAGGCTTGAAAAAAAGTCACAAACCCCGTTTGCATCGAATTGGGCGACGATCGCCAGTCTATCTGAAAAGACGGGCAATTCTTCTGCGCGGAAGTCACGCGTGTTGTTGAACGCGGCGGCTCCTGCGCGTCGAAATCCTAAATGCATGCATAGAAGATCCAAAACAACTGCGTCGTCCCTGCGCAGCTGCCCGTCTGCGCGGGCACGGCGACGACGAGTGCGCCGTTGCGGCGCAGCTGCCCGCGTGCGCGGGCACGGCGACGACGCGCGCGCCGTTGCGGCGCAGCTGCCCGCGTGCGCGGGCACGGCGACGACGACTGTGCCGTCGCCGCGTAGCTGGCGCTGCCGCGGCGACGACATGGAAAGGTGGGACCCGCCGGAAGACACAACAAGGCCGTCCAGTAGAGTGTGCACGACTTGGGCGTTTACGCAATGAAGCAACACTGTATGTAGAACATTCCAGCGCCAGGAAAGCATATCAAAATCAAAAGCGAGACAAGACTGCGCGCACATCGCGTTCAGCTGGGCGTGGTGGACGTGCAGATTGCCGGCGCGCAAGCGGTGAGAGGCGTATTGAAAGCAAACACGGCTTTGTCAAACCAGCAGCAGCAGCATTGGCTCACTGCGCGTTGACCACGTGTGGAATGTCGACATGACATTTCTTCGTGTCTAGCTGCCCCAACAGTGTGACAGTGAATAGCAAGCCTGCGTTTCGCAGACTGCGCGCGAAAAAGCTGCGTCGGACGTCGCATTCGCACGCACGTCAGCACGTTGGTTTCTGTTACATATCTGAGCAACGCATGAAACTCAATTGACGTCAACGCGCAGCGCGCGAGCCAAACGAGCCACGTTGTCAAGAGCTGCGCAATCAGACCATAAGAACAGCGCGGTGCGCGTGCTCCACGACGCGCTCCAATGGCTGGGTGAGAATCTCTATACAATGAAGACGATATGGCGCTCGTATGCAACGACTGCGCCGACAAAGCTGCGACCATGCGCGTTACGAGCGCCATTGAGGCACAAGTGTTGCGGCCTGTGTGCGCCGTGACGTCGCCGAGGGCTGGCCTGCGATCCACACAGGCCACGGCTGCCTGGTGTATACACGCTGCGCCTCTTGCGGGTGCTGTTCTACAAGCACTATTTTATGAAACTCCATGGAGACGCAGTTTGTGTTGGGACAGCGCTGCTGTTCGGGCTACGATCGCTGCAGGCCACGACTAGGGCGCGACGCCTCGTTGTGTGGACGCCCTGCGTTATAGAGCGCTGCACTACGAGCGCTTTTCATACACATTTGCTGCGCGCGCGCGAAGGAACAACTTGTAGCGTGAAGCTCGCCCTGAATTGAGCTATGGGCGGGGGAAGTCAATAGCCCCTCAAAGACCGAAACTGTAGTATACTGGCAGAAGCATTGGACATCTACGCAACAGTTGCAAGAACGACAGCATAGAACCTATAAAAGCGTATGCTCGTGAAGGCCGATGCGAAGGCAGGCTTTACAATTTACAACTTACCAAAGCAGGCATGTGCAATCATGGGCCGACAACGTGTTGGCCAGGGCCCCAGTCAGGGCTTGGCTGACCAGTCGAGGCACAAAAACGCTTTGTCTTGCAGGCTGGGGGCCATGTACGACTCGACACTTGGGCCAACGAGCTACCACCCAGAAAAGGCGGCCTGATATGAGAAGTGCAAGCTCGCGGACACGCAAACATGGGCCAACCGTCAACGAGTCGAGAGCCAAAGTGTAGAGGAAAACAGCTGCTAAACACAGCTTGGAGACACGAGGCGACTTCAATTTCGCTTTTGGAAAAGAGCAACAAACACTGCCTCTGATTGTCTCCGCCGACTATACTCTCTATGTGCGTCACGGGCGCCGTCCCGACGCAGCGCCTACGAGGCGACTTCAATTTGGCCTTTGGAAAAGAGCAACACCTCTGATTGTCTCAGCTGACTTTTTCTCTCTATGTGCGGCACGAGCGCCGCCCCGACGCAGCGCCTTTGAGTATGTTGCTCGTGATTTCGTCGAGCTACACGCCACACCCATTTTGCGCGCACGCGCTGTTTTCACACGCGGCTTTTGTGGCCTGCGTGCGCCGATCGCTACAGGTCACCACCGCTTCGTGCTTCGCATCACGAGCGCTATATTCTACGAACGCATCTAAGCATGGAGACGCAGCTGCTGCAGCGTCGTGGCGCCAATGTCTGGGCTAGATCGCTGCAGGTCAGGGCTGTCTGGCGGCGTTCATAGAATAGCGCTCGTCGTGAGCAGAGTCGTTTCTGTTGCGTGTGACACGTTGCGCGTGACGAGCGCGAGTCCACGAAACGCTATTCTCCGACGGGCTGCTGCGGCTTGTGTGCGCGGTGACAGCGCCGACTTTTGGTCTGCGATCGCTACAGGTCATCACTGCTTCGTGCTTCGCATCACGAGCGCTGCTCTACGAACGCCATGGAGACACGTCGGCGCGCCTCCAGTGGCGCCGATGTCTGTGCTAGATCGCTGCAGGTCAGGGCTGTCTTAGGTACAGAAGCTCCGCACTACAAGCGCTATTCTATGAGTGCCCAGCAGGGTCATGTCTGTTGCGTGTGACACGCTGCACTCAGACGCGGCTGCTGCGGCTTGCGTGCGCCGTGACAGCGCCGACTCTTGGTCTACGGTCGCTACAGGTCACAACTGTTTCGTCACACCACTACGCTATATACTCTTCAAGCGCCATGAGTCGCAGCTGCTGCGGCGCGGCGCTTCCAGTGGCGCAGATGTCTGGACTCGGATTGATGTCTGAGCTAGGATCGCTACACATCAAGATTGTCTTAGGCGTAGAATCTATGCGCACATGCTGCGCATTACGAGCGCTCGTCCACGAGCGCTACTCAAGTGCGGCTGCTGCAGCTTGTGTGCGCCGTGACGGCGGCGACGCTTGGGGCACGATAGATTGCAACTCGTGCGCGAACTCTGCGTGTGCTCGGCTAGCGCCGTGACGGCGCAGTGGTCTTGCCAGTGTCAGCACATCAGCTCAATGGTTATGGAGCACTCAAATCACCGGGGCGTTCGTGTCGGGGCTGTCAAAGGCAGACGGGCGAGGGGCCATAGAAGCGCGACTCCTCGTTGCAATAAGGGCCCTGGCCACTAGGCTGCAAACCCTACCCTTGAGCGCTGTGACCACTGACCATTGGCCCGCACGCCGGCCTGGCTGCCAAACAGAAGGCACAGCTGCCACGGACACATCGCACAAGAAAGCGCGCGCCCTGAGCCCAGCAAAGCAGAGATCTCGACGGCTTTCCGACATCTGCTTTCCGACGGCGTTCTCACTCGTGCTGGCATTCTGCAGCTTTCCGACAAGGCTTTCCGCGGCTTTCTTTCCAACAGCTTCCCAACGTTTCTGACAGCTTTCCGACACTTCGCACGGCTTTCCAACGCGCGGACCCTCGCGGGCCCTCGGTTTGCCTAGTTTTGAAGCGTTAGGGTCCCGACAAGTTTCCGACGCCGGACCTTGACGCGCACCGACAATCGGCAGACACACTGTGATTTTGCACCGCTGCAAGCCAAGAATAACGATAGCGGGTAACCAATTGAATTTCGCAAGTAACACGGGACTCCTGTCAAGTAGCTGCGCTGAAG